TTCCTTGGTCGGGCAGGTGACCCCATACCTTTTTACGTCCGGTCGTGGAATCGAACCCTGGCCGCCTTGGTGAAAGACAAGTGCGATATCTACTGCATCACCCAACCACTTCATAAGCAAAAGTAATAACAAGTCGGACACAGTTTGTTTCTTTAGTTGGTTATGAAATATGGTAGTGTTAATTAAGGTAAAGAAGATGATGTTCAAGATTGATCCAAAGAATTCTTCCAAATCCACATTCTATTTATTCAACTTCTAAATATGCATCGTCATAACAGGACTGCAACCCGATTACTACGCACACGGGAAAAATATCACTCATGAAATATCGAAAAGAATAGAAAAAGGAAAGGTGCAATTTACTTGGTTATCGAGCAATCCTGGTTCGATTTGCAAGTAGGAAACGTAATTTTGTTGTCATTAAAATGGTAGATGCAGATTAATGTGATTTAACACTGATAACAAATTCAGATAAAAAAAGTGTGCTTAGTTTTACGTTGGCGGTGCGCGGGATTGAAAATGAAAGTGTTACTGTATAGTTGTAAACAAAAGGCATTAAATTAATGTTTAACTGTGAAATGACAAACGAAACACAATTTTATTGGTGTTTTATAGCTAGTGTATTAACGAACAATTTGTACTATAACTTTATCACAATAAACACAGCATTTCGCAGTTTTATTGAATGTTAACTAACACATGCATTTTAATAAGGACAATATGTATAATTATACAATCGAAATTTCAAATCCTTACACGAATTTGCTTGAAGCCAAAGTATGCAGAACCAAATGTAAGTAAATGACAGAATCGAACAAGTTTTACTTTTATTATTATTATTTGTTTCTGAAAACTTCTTTATCACAGTAAAAGTATCTCAGATAGTTAAAAAAAACCTGTACACAATGGTTCACCAAATTCGGGAGACCGTTTTAACTTTTTATTAACGATAATTAATAGCAATCTGAAGTAAAGATAAACATCATAAGTACAGGACGTTCACGATATTCTGAAGACTGTGTAAAGTCTACCATTTGAGGCACGGAAGTCCGGTGGTATGACACCGGGCTCGTGACCGAAGGGTTGCGGGTTCGAGTCACATCACGGCACAGTGTTGTATCGTAGAACAAGATACTTTACTCCGCTTGTTCCTGTCTACTCAGCTATAAATGAGTACGTTGGGCAGTGCTGGATTTGTTGAATGCTAGCTGAGCGCCGACATGACAGCACCGGCTGTATGCTCCCCAGGGAGGTGAAAAAGATATTGGCTGGTTACAATCGCCTATAACCACAGATAATAGTGTTTGAACTGCTTTGAGACGACATAGGAAAGTTATTTCTGTTCTGTCGGGTTTGACTATCAGAAGACGTTTGCTAGATCTGGTGGTATTGCCTGCTGTACTTAGCTTTGTTAGAAGCATTGGCCTTGTACCCTGCACCGTAATGTTTAGGTCTATTATTATGTTGACATATCATAATACCTTAATGTACTCGTGTATTGATGGTAAAGGTTTTACTCAGTGACTGTTACATTTTTCCGTAAGGATATTTATGCAAACCATACTATATATATAGTATTTATATATTCATTACATAAGATGGGCAAACATAACACACGCAAACCATTGCTTTTGCCAAAGAAAGGTGGAAGTTTCCTGGTAAACAGTAATTTAAACCTTAAAGATACACAAACACAAGTATATATATTTTTAGCAAAATTTAATGATAGATTAAAACATAAATAATTTAAAGATTGAACTATTTACAAACCAGTAAATATATATCTAACATGTAAATGAAATGTTGCCATTGTACAGGTTGTAAACTGTTATAGATCTCATTCTCAAACAACTTCAGTGGTCCCTTAGGAATAACTTAGTGTTCCTGTGTTTGTCCTTTTCACTTTCGTTGTTTGTTCCGTTAGCCATTCCCATATACCAGTACATGCACACTGTATGAATGGCAGTATACCTCTAATACTGTCCATTTTAGTCATTTTGAAATTCACAAACGAATGATTAAACGATGAAGTCATATTTTCCTGACTGTTTCATTAAAAATAATGTATTGAGCCGTTTCTTTATGTTACAATAGAATAACGGGTCATCAAACCAGTGCAAACCTTCCTGGCGCTATAAAAAGACGTTCCCCGTGTGATTTATATGTGAGGAATGAGGATACATAGCATTCAAGGTATGTAAGACAGTATACCACGTCGGTACAAACGGTCGTTTTAACCCTCAGTGCGAAATTAAAAGTTCAACAAAATCATCTTTCTCCGTGAGAAACCTTTTTTTCTGTTTCTGATGAAGATGACCCTGGTGGCATCAATTAGTCAGCATTATTATATCAAGTTCCTAATTTGAAGTTTAATAAAAAATATACTTTTTTTCAATCTCATTTCATCTAGGTTGTGGTTGATCTACGAGCGTTGCAATTCCCTAAGGAAAAACCTCACGTCAGAAGAAAATCAATTAAGGTTTATGATACTGCTACATAGAACATCTTGTTTGATAGAGAATGCAACACTGTTACTGAAATGAACGTTAACATAAGGCTATATATGACCGTAAGAAATCTTTGTTTGTAATAAATACCGCAAAAAACCCGCACATTTTGCAATGATCTATTAACGATCGGGTTAATTCACATAAGTTGCCAAAGCAGCTGTTCTCTAAACTCTATCCGTAATTTGTCTTTTGAAACTAGTTTCTCCAATGCTACCTAACTTGCAATCATGTTTCATTGTATTCGACCTGTGTTGTATCCGTCATCTGGGGACCAGTAGAATGTAAAGGAATAAGCATTTTTAATTTAGCAGTGTAAACTACTTTAGTAATCAAAGATAGTTAAATGGAAGTTTTCTGTGTGATTTATTATCTCCTCAAAACATGTAAACATTGTTAATCACCGGGAACATAACAAATTATTTGCAGTGACGGCATATTGAAAAGAACTTTAACATGTATTACAAGTGTTCTTTTTATTTTTTGCATGATACAATAATGTGCTGATACTATTTTAGCATATGCTACATGTTGGCAAGAATAAATTTTAATATTGTGAATCTTTCCATTTCTTTGAAGTTTTGTTTTCCTTTTAGCAATCAACTGACATTAAATCTGACATCTACTATACTGTCAAGGATTTCTTGTAAATGTGTTTTTTTTAAAAGACTACTGTCAGTAATCATCTACATACGTCAACAGAAGTTGAAAATAGCCTATGGTCCAACTTTTAGAAATGACATTTTTTATATAAAAATACTTACAAAGGAGCTTTTGAGCTTTATAAATCCGTAAAATATATCTTAAGACTACTTTGATGACAACATTTCCATAACCAGCGTTATGTCAATGAAATATATATTATAATACATAATAAAAATAATGTTTCTGTTATGAAATCAGTCTCAGGTATGCATTTATCAAATATAACAATGTATGCCGGTAAATAGAGGTCTGTTATGATACATGTATATACACATCACTTTTCTGTCTTTAATAAAACAGTATGTATGCATTGTAATACTGCAATACATGTTAAATAATAAATATATTTCATAATTAAGTTAGGCATGAATATATTATAGCATTCTTATTTTTATAAAATAATCTCATTCCACATATCACAAGTACATGTACACATTTTTCCTACACAAGTTCTATGACATATCGCTCTCATACAATTACCCGTGAACCTGTAATGCGACAGTGCATTTGTGTTTTGAAAAAGAAAAGATTTTCTCTACTTTCGAAATATATTTGGATTTTAAGTTAAAAATATTGGCTCCCAAAAAACGAACAATAAACAAGTAATATACATCATACTGTATACCGGAAATTTTTCGCGGCTGTTCAATTTTCGACTTCTTTGCCCACCGTAATGAAGGCAAATTTATTATGACAAGAACATTTGTAAACAATATAATAGACATAGTAATTTAATAAAAATGCCGTATTTAATTTAGAGCGAAACTTGATGTTACCGTCGAAGGTCAAAAATTGGACAAGGCGAACATTGCCAATATACAGTAGTTGCTTGTCCAACGTGACAGCACAAATGCTCCAATTTGTATAATCACAAAGAGATGGGCATTAACTTATCACATTTTCAATTACTTACATAATATTCAATACAAACACAATAACTATATAAATTATCACATCAACGTCATTCCTTTCAACATGCCTGTAATAATAAACACTAATAGATCCTGAACTTAACAAGGATTAAATGAAACTATGTAACAATATCTTTAAACGGGTTTAACCTCTGATCCTTTTATTTGTGTATAAGTAAGTATGATTACTGATCACGTGTGCATGTAGTTCGATATCGGGTTTATTGAGATGTTTAACGCCACAACGTGTTGCCAGTAATAGGTTGCCATGTAACTAGGTAACTGGACTTTATCATAGCAAGATTAACATAAAATACAACTTGAATGATAGATTCCGTTATAAAGCTTCTTTTTTATCCGTTTCCATTGCTGCTTTTCTACCTTATTATTGAGACATTTTGGATTTTCATTTTTCTTGACCTGAAGTACCACAGTGACTTATAAGTCACAACAAATAAAGAATGTACATGTAGTACCTCATTTATTCATGCATGTCTTTGCTCTGTAACTAATGATTAACCAATCACATAACATGCCGTCAACAGCCAATCATACTATAAAGTAAATATATATAATTACTCAATTTACAAAATCTCATTTGTAGCCTATGCAAGCATAATCACAAATCAACTGTAGACATTTGTCAGGATAACCTTAATTGAGCAGCCAATGATAATCTATGTTACAAATCGTTATCCAATCACAGACATTTTAATATGAATCCGTTTTATGATGTCAGTTAATAGAAACGTGTGTTAATATGGATTTTACCACCTTCATTCACGGTGTAGTCGTCCATTAATAAGAACAGACATAGCGTCAACCTTACAACAGTGCCGTACACTGTTAACCAATCAGAACACATTAAGTGCTCAATAGTACAACTCCGTACCGTTTACCAGTCCATGAACGTATAACACCATATCGGATAACGCTGCATCGTGAAGTTAGTCATCAAATACTCAAATACGAAGCGTTCTGACGTTAATCAATCACCGGATGTGCAACACCCATGTAACATCAACAAACAAACACGCACGTAGTTCCAAACCTACGACAAGGCGGTTACAACGCTTTCAATTTGTGAATCATCGCTAGACTTAAATCTCACTGTAAGCAGTACGTTTTTCCCGCTTGTGAGTTTCTGTCGACAACATAACTTAAGGAATGCCCGCCGAAATCCATTGCTCATAAAACAATAGCATACTGGATTAACTGTGGAGTTCGATAATCCTAATAGAAGAACGATTGGGTAGATGTAATCGTTTACAAACTGTGTTCTCTCGGACAGCACCATGTTGAAATCCAGCCAGATCATCACAGCATAATACGGAAACCAACAGAACACAAAAATCATCACAACAGCAACTAACATCTTAACGGTCCTTCTCCGCTGCCGTAGAATTCGTTCGGCTTGTGATTTGTTCGTAATGGAGTTTTCCATGAAACGTCTTGCCTCTGTACGCCAAAGAGTGTAGCCTATTCGCGTGTATGTCACCAACATGGCCACTAGTGGAATAAAGAATAGCACAAAGAAGATAAACATGCTGTAGATTTGTTTCGTTACAGGGGAGTACCACAGTTCCAAGCACACGTGCATTTCGTACACTCCTTGAAGTCCCGACGTCACTACCGTGCACACAACAAGTTGTGGAATGAACGAACACAGGGAGACAAGCCAGACAAGGAATAATAAAAGATATATTTTATTTTTCGAGAATAACACTTTGGCCTTTAGTGGGCTGTGTATGGCAAAGTACCGATTTATACTAATAGAGAGTAAGCTGAGGGAACTCACCGCTACCGCAGTACCTTGTAGAAATGGCGTAAGCTTACACATAAATGTTCCGAAAATATAATCCGAATATACATAGCTTCCGAGTGTCATTGGAATACAAATCAACACCACAAGCAGGTCACCAACTGTTAGACTGACCAGGAACACATTGGTCAGTGTGCGCATGTGCTGATACTGGATTACCACTGCAATCACAAAAATGTTGCCAAGGAGACCTGAAATGAATGCGGCGGAATATAAAACCATTAAAATGATTGTCATCGGTTCTCTACGTCCATAGAAATCGTCTTTTATAGTGTTGAAAAATGAATCCGGTAACATATTCAAAAGTTCCGCATTAACTTTACCCGAACTATCAAAGAACGAAATATTCATGTTCCAGTAAAAGGAATCATCCCAAACGGTTGGAGCTTCTTGATAGATGATATCACCAGGAGTGTTCACCGAGAAGTTTCCAGCGTCCACAACAGTGGGAATCAACGTTTCAGCTGTCATCGTGTCCTTACTTTATACTCTTCAAGATAAGAAATATGTCTTTTCGTTAACCGTGTATGTTTGTGACTGTGCTAGTCTCCATAGAGCTGGTGGCTGTAGCCGTTATAAGATGTATTGTCACTCCCCCCGGTATATAGAAGGTAGGAGTGATGTCAGCAGGTTATTTGTGGCGCTGTTTATATCATTGACGTCAACACAGATAAGGTTTTTGGTTTCCTTATGATTTATTAATCAGTTTGATAACACATTGTTTTTCTGGTAACGCATGACCGATTTATCCGTTGGTCTATTTCGTATTTAATAAGTTTGTCCTTTACCTAGTCGTAACAAAATGCGTACAGATCAACCACAAATCCGTTCACACCTGTTTCAGTTGTTTTTGGTTCACCTGTATAATCGATAAAGCTTCTACGTGTGTTTTATGTCTTGTTTTCGGCCGTAAATTAAATTAATTGAATTATTCTTATCCACATCACTCAAAGTACGTGTTTGGCTTAGACTGGTGTTAATCGCATATTAATTTACGATCTAAAAACAGCGCGTAGATCATGATGCAATAAAGGATATAAATTCTTAATGGGCTTGTCTAAAGTATTCCCTTTGCAAATTGCATTTTCTCCAGAAATTATAAAGTCAGTTCTATTTCTGGGACACATCAATAATCGAAACTACTGATTCCATAAGCCGTTAATGTAGATTGTGTTTGCTGTTAATGGTATGGTCACCGCCAAGTTGTGTTGTTTATCAAGGGAGACCTTTCATGTTGGTCACAGCCGTATGTCATCTGTTCTAGTTCTTCATCGTTTCCGGTACAGCTGTCTTCTTTGATATCTGTCAATAAACAACATTATATAAGGCCAATGTCAATGTCGAAAACATGATCCCTTTTTTTGTAAACAACAATAAAAGCTAGCCGAAATACGGAAGAGTCAACAAGTATATATCAGCAACAATGTTGAGTCTTGTGTTGGGTTTGTTTATCTTACCAAAATATCGAATGAACAAAGGAAGACGGTGTTGACTGGTGATAATTCAATAAGGGAACATTTAAAATTTTCCCCACCCCTAAAATGTCAAATTTCAGAGATATGATCCACACAGCCTACTATGTCCTATCAATGTGATAGTAACTAGCCTTGAAAACAACAAAAAAGAAAGACATTGTCAGTAGGAGGAAATATCCAATATAATCAATGCAAATCTCTTTCATGTCAACGCTTAATAGGCTATATTCTGAGTAACACAGATCTTCATCTCCAGAAGTCATTTTTAATTAATGAAAATGAAAGTAAAAAAATGGAGGTTTGGCAAGCAGATGTTCATGACAGCTCTAATTTGAACTAAATCTGACTAGATCGATAAATACGAAATTAATTAGAAATATCACATTATCTTGTAATACCACCGAAACCATCTAAGGAGATACAAAGCTTTTTGGTTCTGACATGCTTTTCGTTGTTTTAGAAACGAAGTGAAATTAAAAAGATTTAATTTTGAAACAGCCTGGTTTTAATCGGAAGAGACGGTGTGATGTGCAATAAAACATGTCTTACTTGAGATAGCCTGTATTTCACTGCAAACGCGTCATACGTTTATCATGATAAGGGAAAGAAAAGGATTACATGTATGTTTTATGGTTAAATTACATGTAAAATCTATCATCTGTATTCATACAACATCTCTTTGTTTGGTTTTCTTTTGTTTAACGTCCTATAAACGACTTAGGTCATTTAAGGATATGCCTCCATGTTTGTAGTGTATGCGTGCATGTGTGTATTTGTGCTTGAGACAGGGTATGTTGGTGTAATTGCCTCCTTGTAAATGCACGGATCTGATGCCGACTTTATAGTGCCCTCTCGCTGGTAACCATGCCGAAGCCACCCAACATAGCATTCTGCATGGTCACATTATGCTGACAAACTCTTTGTAGAAATCATGTTTGTTAACATTATTTGACTGTAAGAAACATATGTTTGTGAAAACATTTGTCAATAACATCTTTGTTTAAAAGACCACCTGGCTGTGAAAATTGTCAGAATCTTCTGCATGTAAAAATCTACTGCCTATAAAGATTACCTTTTTGCAAGAATGAAAATTTCTATAGAAATAAGAGGTATCCAACGACAGGACGTGAGTCATTTAAGCAGTAATTGATTTAGCAAATGTTAGTATGGTCCTATAGCACACTTTGGTATTGATGACAAACTTAGCAAAGCCCTGTGGTGCTTTATGTAAGTTTATCAGCAATAGAAATGTGTGTTATGGGACCATAACAATATTTGCTTAAATATTCATTACTTATGCTATATTAAATTATTTCGAACATTGCTTGAACCGCAATAAAGTGTTGACACAGATTCACTTATATTTTCGGTATTGAAGTGTCTGTGTTATCTGAACAAACGAGATTCCTAGAAAAAGCCTAGAGTCACCAAAATGATTGCTTCTAACGGATGTCTCATGCTATTCGAGTCGAGAGGAGAAGCTTCCAATGACACTGACCAAATTGCATTCATACCTTTGTGAACCCCTTTTCCTCTGATTATGCTTATAGAAGAACTTGCAGTAGAAATCTTAATATAGAAGTTCAACCTAATTTTTGACAAATCTAGGAGATTAATTTGAGGTTTGATAAAAAACGTTTAAACAATTCGACACAAATAAGGTTTGGTAAAGGAGCAAAATGTTAGTTGATTATTACACCGGAAATCAGAGGATTGACAAAGAAGATAAACTTGAAGTTTTTCAGTGGAGCTGAAGTTGAGGTTTGACAGCGGAGTTTAAGTTGACAAAGTCTGACAATGGAGTTAAACTAAAAGACTCGGAGAAGGTGTCAACGTTATACTTCATGTTTGTCAAGCCTAGTCTCTAACCTTGTTTACACTTTCAGATTTATCTATTGTGCTTTAGGCTTAAAAATATGTTTTTTTCCCAGTTAGCCCAACTGACCCATGTTCTTACCACCAATCCTTACCATGTTATCTCACGCAAACGCACCACTTTTGGTGTCGGTATAACTTGTCCACCGAATGATGTCAACTATATATAACTTGTCTTATTTATAGGCAGGTACCAAAACCAAGTCCCGTATAATTATTATTTAAAGGACCTGCAAATATTTTTTGTGATTTTTGTAATTGTTTTAATTAGCCCCACTCCTATCCCGCTAAAAATACATGTAAACGACCAACCTGCCCTATATTTTTCTGTCATTTTACCTGAAACATACTTATTATTTATTCCTTATTGTCTTTACAGATTATATTTGAACATCGAGGTAACCTAAGTGTATTGAATTGTGGAGGTTTATATCATTTAAACTCTGCTCTGCACTTTTTGCATTTCCTTTCGTGTTTTTATGCTTTCAAACTATTTTATTGATAGTGATTTCCGCAATCTGCTGGTACTTTAACACTAGAGTAAGTTTAACAAACTATATACTATTTATACTAATCCCATCTCACGTCATCTGATCCGTCAAATCAGCGGTTTATAGAGTATTTGCGGACGGCAGGGCTTTGATCGCGTGGACAGTCTGTCATAATCACGTGTCACTTGAACAGGACACGATTACGTTAGCTACGTGCGACAAATCTACTATTATTAGAAATAATGTTTACGACTTATGACTAGGGACAATCATATTAACCTCACCAATGTGTCGTGTTTTATATACACCTTTTTCAAAAAGGAGAAAGTTCCATTTACAAATAGCACAGTCTTGGTGATTGTCGTTTCTGAAAATATATAGACGCACCAGGAAGAATCAATTAACAGAATGTGTGTTCAGTTATGAATGGTAGTCTGTTTTCCAATATCACCTGCTTTTCCAAAGCGGCACACATCAATAGATGTTTTTGCCTAGAGACTTCAAATTTTAAATTCAAATTTTGGTTCGACATACCTTCCATAGTAGTCCGGTATTATGTCATTTTCAGTGTCTCCGTTTGGATAGAATGTGGGTTGCGTTGCGTGTGCTAACCGCAGGCGATGGTTGATAGGTTCTGTTATGAGAAAGAAACCGGAAAATCTGCAACAGAAAGAAAACAAATCAAGAATCAATTTCCTGTGGGATTGCAAGTGACGTCATCGCTTGGCCCATTGTTCAATTGTTCTACGTGATATATTTTCAAATCACATTCTGATTAGAATTTGGCTTGGCACTCTCTAAGGAGATTCCTGTGGCACTCAACGAAGGGCAAATAACAAGGAAGTAAATTTTAAAAAACAATTAAAAAAATATTTCACCTGAACCTGCTGTTTCAACACTAGTACTATACACCCATGTCCACTACTATTCTCTTTCCTTGTATTCATCACCTTTTGGCCCAACATGATTAGGTGTATATGTTCATTTCCTTAATCGTCCAATAAAGTTGATGTTGATAGTTTGCCTTGTTAAGTCATCATAATTGCTGTTATCTTGTTAGGGGAGGAATTGGTAAACATGATACCCGTCCCCTGACTGCCTGCAGTATTATAGTGTAATTAGGAAAAATGTCTCAATGCATTTTGACAGCTGTCTTTTTCTAATTCGGCACACTGTGGCTAAGCTAGTTGTTTATAGCGGTTTGGAGTCGAGACAATGACAATTTGCACTCTCTGCTTGACAATCGAAACAGATGTTTTCGAAAGCTTGCAAAATAAATTTTCAATTCCTGTTTGTGTTCAAAACAAACAGTCTTTATAGTTGATGTTAATGTTTCATTAACTGTCGAGTGAATCCGAATTCGCAATCAATAATACAAATATACAATACCTGCAGCTTAAGAGTTACCCAGACAAAACGAGACAAGCACTACTAATTCTCTTAAAATGATCGTATATCTCAATGATATCTTCTGTCAAATGAAGGGGGAAAAAACAGGGTCGGACCTGCTAAAATAACTGTGGATCCCCGTATCATTGCCAAAAAATATCAGAAGTGTTGGAAACTGTTTTTCCGGTCTGACTATAGTTTTGATAAATCATTTATGAGAAATAATCAAGATGAAATACACAAAATATAATCACCAACAGTTTTCTGAGTGTAAATAAAACACAGCGTGACTCAACTCTGATTCAAACCCTGACGTCAGACTGCTGAACTATCGAGCTCCTGGTCGACGGAAGTCACCCAAACGGAAGTTAAAGGGAAGTTACTCCAAATAGGAAAAAGCAAAATGCAGTGGGACAGGGATCCTTAAGGGATCACCGTTGTATATTTACCGCTCTGTGGCATAGCCGCTATATATATTAAGTTCGTATGACATTTATATAGACTGTACATGCCATCATTAAAGATGTTTGACGTAATCATTATTGTGATAATAGCAACATTAGATACAAGTGACCTCCGATGGAAGATGACTGTTTTATTCATTAAACCAGCTTACACGATATATATACTAGATTTGAACTAGATCATATACAGAATTTTATTAAGCAGATTGTAATTTTAATGACATTAAATGATACCAAAATAGTAGCAACGTTGTGTCATTCATTTTACTGTAAATTCCATACCAATGTTTCAAACAATACATACACTGTATACCACCTGTGTTAATAGACCACCTTTATCGTACCAATCCCTTTCCAATACGTGTATGTTAGATCAACCCGTATTAAAAGACAGCCTGTTCAATAAGTCAAGTCATTTGAATAACAGATACAGTAACAGATAATGTACGACCCGCATACAGATAACACTTTTAAAAAACCCCGCTGTAGTTATTTTAATGTAAAATATCACCGTAATAAGAGAAAACATAAATAGGAGATACTCAGCATTCCTTGCATATGTTTTATCAAAATCATATATTTCATAACAAATTGTTAAAGGATAGAGGGAGGGTCCCTGTCTAGATTTTGGTATTATATATTATGATATAATATCATAATATGTTCGAGTTTTTACTTAATTTCTGTTGAAACTTTCAAATGCCGCAAGACCTTTTTTGATCTTTTAGTTGTGACTTGGCAAAATTGGCTTTTTCCAAGAAAGAAAAAATGCCACAAGCCCTGGACAACCTTTGACAAGTTCACAACTCAAGTAAAATATTTCTAATATATATTTAACGAATGACATACAGTTATCTTAAATGTACCATAAGCGGACATCACATTTTACAATTGCGCACGTTCAAATATTGTAAAGAAACAATGATCCTTCCATACACAGGGCTAATGATATACACATACCATTGCATATTTCTCTAAACATCATATTTCTCTGAATATCATATTTCTCTAAATATCATGCTTCTCTAAATATCTAATTTCTCTAGATATCGTATGAATTTAAAAATATTTCTCTAAATAACATATCCTCTAGAAATCATATCTAACTAATATCATATGTCTCTTGATATAATATTCTCAAACTAGCACATGTCTCTAAATATGATATTTATAAGAAATTTGTTATTTAAAGTGATACCATATTTCGAGACATATGATATTTCGAGACATAAAGTATTTCGAGAAAGGTGTTATTAACAGAAATATGATATGTTTATAAATAGAGGATCTGACACGAGTGTTCATGTAATATTAAATTTATTGAACGAGTTTATTAATTTCATATGAAATTAATAAACGAGTTTAATAAATTCAATATAACATGAACACAAGTGTAAGATTCTATTTATTATATAACTCGAGAAACATTCTTTTTCCTGACACGTCTCCTCTATATAACTTGTACTGCGCCAAACACAATAGTTTCAGAAACCTCTTCCCGAGAACATTTTCAATGAACAAACAATCAATAAGGTTTTCTTCATCAACTAATGTTTTAATAATTATCATAACAACATTAATAATCATTTTTTTATACAAAAACCATTCAACGAATTGGCGTTTACGAAAATAGCAGTGACGTCACATATTTGGAACAACGGCGCGTGCACTGTCAAGGTAAATGTCATCACAATACACATCGAAGTCTGCACTTTTCAAAAGTTTACATGAACTGGAGTGATTGTCACTCTCTATAACACAAGCGTATTTCTTTGGAGAGGGTTGTTGGTGAATGTGAACCTCGATGTTTCCGCCTGTCACTGACCAAGAAAATATATTGTGGAATCCGCCATGAAACTAAAACACTGATGGAGTTGACCGGTTACACGTGTTCGCCATTGATTCTGTGTATGTCGGAGAAGTTCAAGTGGAATTTGAACACGCAGGTGTTGAATTTTTGTGAAGCTAACACTCGTGTTTATATAATATTGAATTTATTAAACTCGTTTGTTAATTTTATTCTCCCAGTGCCCCTGCCTCTGCTATCAATGCAAACAGTAATTCGGTCAGCCATTTTGTTTACAAACGTAGAAGTTGCAGTGCGTAGGAATATGACCTTTTTCCCACGGTGCAAAGACTCATTTGCATGTTTATTGTACGTGTGCTATATCGTTTTTATTGAAGGGCAATATTGCACGGAAATTGCCTGTATTATATAATAAATGTAAATATCACATTATTTACAAAATATGCAACATCGGGTGCTCGTATGACATTCGTCGTGTCTTTAAGCAAAATATTAATTTTGACTCCAGAGAACATGTAGCCTAATGCTGCTTGGATTGCAAGCCCTTACACTGTAACACTGTTTTATACAATGGTTTTGTGCACATGGTCTTTTAGTATATTTGAATTAGCATAACATTTTTTAAACAGCTTTGTGCGGTACATGATAACTTCCTCTGAAATCACTTACTTTATTTTGAGATAATCGATTGTTTCCCCTGAATGATTTTTGACATGATAATAGTCTATTCGGATCAAAGATTTATAACGCAGCAATGGAATCAGATCCAATGTATTGAAATCAATAAAATCGAAAACTCCAAATTTATTGTCAAATATTGAATAGTTATAAATAATGTATAGAGAAAATAGACCTTATAACTGATGCGTGTTATTTTAGTTAACGTTGATTGATAATTGACCAGCTGATCGCGAGCTCTACGGATTCTCTGGCTAAACTATTCCGTGCCCTAAGCGTACCTATCTTAAAGAACTGTCATAGACTTTGCATCTGTTAGGTTTAAGATAAGTGCATTATCCCTGTCGACGCACCAGAGCTTTCAATTATCTTCCTTTTGACTTGGCCACCCACGCAGTTCCGAAGTGCACACCCGAGTTCATATAAGTGTATATCGATACATAAACGGATTAGCAAGCAGCCATCATAAACAAATATGGTTGTTACGAAATCGAATGAGTTTTGGAATATACAAATAGGGGAAAGTCAGGTTACTTCGATCACACGGGTATATCCGATCACACGGTTAAATTCGATCAATTTATAGCTTACGCCACTCACGTATGATATTGAAACATAAACCTTATGATTGAGTAGATTGTAATTACTTATGATTGGGTAATTACATTGTCTATACGTCATGAAAAGCAAAGAAAGTCAACTCGGGTACAAGAGGCTCCCCTCTGTTCCGAAATTCAGCACATAATCAAGATCGAGTGTTTTCGGAATTACGTTGTCCGAAGTCCCGCACAAGCGCCCAACTGTCCTCTCATCAATATCTTCCTCTCCTCCGGTTCGAAGGTTAAAAACAAATTCAATGTTGACTAGTGCTGATTTAGATTGATTGTAGTTTAAATCACTATAGGTAAACACAGAATAGTCAATATTTAGCGCCTACATTCCTAACCGACCTCTCTGCGATATCTCCCTTTCACCCGGTTCCGAAAATTAAAACAAAATTGAAATGGATTAGGTCGGATTTAGGCTGTAAATAATGTACGTCATCGAATAGTGCCAGTAACTCCAACCGTTCCCTCATTAATGTCTTTTTTTCATCCGGTTCTGAAAATTGAAACTAAATTAAAATGAAGTAGACTGGATTAAGTTTGTCCGTATCATATGTCACAAGAGGTAAATATAGTACTCGGCTACAAGAGTCTACAATCCAAACCGCTGCTCCTCTCGTTGAGTTCCGTGATTCAACACAAAAGTAAGTGATTCGATTTTAGTTTGACCATAATACGTATCTGTCATGAAAAGTAAATGTAGTCTAGGCAGAAAAA